GTTCAAAATGCTATGGGAGCAGTGGGGAAAAGCCGCAAGGGAAGCGTGACACTGCACCGCTGTTCCCACAGCTGGTACAGAGCCGGTTCCTTCTCCATACCAAGGGTGTTCCTGGATTAGGGATACTTGGTGTATGGAAGTTCATATGTGTAAGTATTACCATGGCATCACAGACTGCCCTCCTGGGCTATCCAGTCTATCTTGCCACCCTGGCAAGCTGGATTCAGTGATAAAGGGTCACTTGCACCAAAGATCCCTAAGCTTTCCTGTTGCTCCCACTTCCAAAAGACCAAGCCACTGACCTCAGGTCAATTTGTGTCTCATATCTCTCACCTGAGACACCACTGGAAAAAGTGTGGAGCTTTGAGTGGGAGAGGCGGGGCTAGAAGTTAGTCTCCCCCGGTCAGCCATCAGTGCTGCCTGGATCATACCACACTGGGCTCTGGTGGTGATGTAAAGGGCCAGCGTCTCTGGCTGCTGCTGCAGCCGTGGTAGTGGTCCAGAATCCTGCGCCATTTTAAATCACTAGGACCCGGAGCAACGGCACCTCCTATCGGCAGCTCTGCTTGTAGACCATCCTATGGTGATCTAATTAAAGATTTATTAGGTAGGAAACCAAAATGAGAGTTATTTACAGGTTAAAGCAAATATATATGCAGACAAGTTACACTCCATTGTTATTTTTGTGGGGGTTTTGTTGTTGTTGTTGTTGTTCTTCAAGCTGACTCTCTACTTTCACAGTTTTGGCATCTCCAGAACTTCAGGGCTGAAAAAGCAGAAATCATTCTGCTTCAAGGCTCCACTGCATTTATTAATATGCAGCTAAGCTGATCTGCGGATTACTTTCAGGGAACTGGAATGGCCCTGAACACCTGAGATCAGACGCTACCAATCTGCCTTCTTTGTATCACTGAGTTATTCCACAGCAGCACAAAGATTCTGTCTGACAAATTGGGCCAGGGTTGGGGGAGGAAGTCAAAATCTCATTTTGTGGTTAAATCCACACAGCTTTCAGTCATATTCCCATGGATTTCCCAGCTATATTGCAGAGCAGAGACCCCTCTGTACAGTCTGCAATTTGAAATCAAATGGGTAACAATTACTAGCAACATTTGCAGCATTTCTGTATGGATTTTTCCCCCCAAATTCTGTGATTTCCAGGGAGTTTATGCAAATTAATTTTCCTTACAAGGCACAATCTGGCCAGAGATAATTAATTATTCTGTTCAGAGGCAGCCTGAGTCAGAAAACTGAGCATTGGGCTAAAAGCCAGGATTTTTTGTCCAGTGTCTTCAAAAAGTGAAGAGGTGATGTTAGAACAAATAATTTTACACTCTGCATCTCAGTTTTTCCCACCTAAGGAATGGGAAGAATGATGTTAACATTTACCTTATGAAATAGTTGTGAAGATGAAGTGGTTGGTGTTAGGACTGGTTAAATTTTTCTGTTGAAAGTGTTTTTTGATGGAAAATTAGTTTTTGACTGAAGGATTTTTCTGGTGAAAAGCATCTGCTTCCTGTAGAGCATTTTGACTTTCCAATAGTTAAACAAAGTCCCCAAAACTGAAATGCTTCACAGAATACTTAGGACATCCTGCCTTTGTACCTCTTGGAATTGTAATTTGACTTCCTCATATCCCTATTTACCTCTATGGGCCAAGGTCCTCAGCTGGACTACATTTCCCATGATGCACCACAGTAAGGGCATTGGAATGGGAAACAAGTGAAAAGTGCAACTGCCTCCCTCACCAGGAGTGGGGGCCATGGTATTTCATAGGAAATGTTATCTGACCAGGGACCCCAGATGACAGAGAATGGGATCATGGGGCATTGAAACTAGAACCCCCATGTGACCTAACAGGACTTTTACAATTTTTCATCTAATTTGACGTCAGTAAAACAGTCCAGCTCTCGTTCACATATGTACAATGCCCTGGAAATATCTAAGTGCTAATTACCATTATTAATTTCTAAGTACGATTCAAAAAGTTTGTAGGTCAAGCCCAATTTGGGTGAATATCCAAAATTTCAGACCTTACAAGTCCTGAAAATTAGAACATGCTTTCTCATGAGATTTCCAGGTACAATTCATTGTAATGCTACACTGTAATGTTCCTATTAATGTGCTAACACTATCTAATACTTCCAGCTACACAGAAGAAGCTTCTGACGCTTCTGTATTAGTTCACTGGCCATTAATTGCCACATTACCATGTATGATTATGTCATGGATTGGTCCCACATGCTAAGTCTGCCTACCTTAACATTCAAAGATATTGATTTTCTCAACAGACTACATATTGCTGTGATTACACTGAAGCAGACGAGTTTTTCCCATGCTCTCTTCTGAGATAAAGGGATTACCATTTCTAAAGCATTGTTATCAATTCAAACTGAGACTAGAAGAAAGCTCTAATAGCAGTCCACCTTGGCCAAACAGGAAGTGTAGAAATACAACACAAGTACCTATGCCAAAAGCTTCATGGTCCCTCCTTAGAACACAGCTCTTTGGGTAAGTCTAGATTTCATCCCTCTCTCGGCAGAGGGATGAAGATTAGGCAGATCGACATTGCAAATGAGGCAGGGATTTAAATATTCCGGGCCTAATTTTCATAAAAATGATTGCCGCGTTTTGCTGACTCAGCACTTTGTCGGCAAAAAGCGGCAGTCTAGAGGGGGATCTGTTGAGAAAGAAAGCCTTTTTCAACAGATCCCTTATGCCTCCTGCAAGGAGGTTTACAGGATCTGTCGAAAAAGGCTTTCTTTCTCGACAGATCTCCCTCCAGACTGCCTCTTTTTGCGGACAAAGTGCTGAGTTGGCAAAATGTGGCAGCCATTTTTATGCAAATTAGGCACGGAATATTTAAAACCCTGCCTCATTTGCAATGTCAACCTGACTAATCTGTATCCCTCTGCTGACAGAGGGATGCAGTCTAGACATACTCTTTGTGTGCTCAGCCATTGAGTGCAGCTGCATCAGTGCAAACCCATAGGGCCACAGAATAAACTATGCAAACTTTTAGAATTACATTTAACTGAGCTTTGCTAGGTTGGACGGGAACTGCATCCTACTGTCCATCTGTACAGTGCCTAGTACATTCTGGGCCGGTGATGGGCAACCCAAGCTAGTGAATGGACCACATAAGTGGCTCTCCTTCATCTCAGTGGGTTGCAATATTGCCATAACCAAGATGGTCTCCGAGGATAGGGTAGTTTTGCTAACTGTGCTTGCATACATAGAATTTGCAGGGTGCCGACTGAACTATAGCAGCACTTTCCCTGGACACAGAGGGAGCGCACGGCTCTCATAGTCAATGTTATGCACAATAAGCACACACCTCACTTCATGTGCCCTGGCTTTACGTGTGTGTCACTTTAGTAATACCAGTAGCAGAAAAACGATGTGGACAGAAACCAATAGAATCTGGCAACCCTGTGTGTGGGCAAGTGTAAACAAACTGTCTCCTGGCCCACACATAGAACCCTGCTGGGTCGCACGTTGCTCACCACTATTCTGGGTGCTCCCGTAGTACAAATATTAAATAATTAGCTCTTCAATAGACGAGATGATGCATAGTCCAGGTTCAGCAAGAAAAAGTTTCAAAACTTGTAGCTGGAAACAAACTTTCAGTATGAACTAGAAAACGATTTGTGGAAAATAACAGCACAGTGCTATTTCTACAAAAGCTCAACAGGCAACAATATCATTTTTGAAATCTGCTTATCTGGTCGAGGAACATCTTTACTTTGGAGTTTAAAGCAAATAATTAAGTTGCAGGCATTTGGCATCAGAAAATAGTGCATGAAACAAAACCTTTCCAGGAGGAGGCCACGTAATATAAAAAAAGTCAGAAAGACAGCCTTATAAGGGTACTTTCATTATGTTTGTTTGGAAAACCATGGTGATTTTTCTCTCTCAATCTTTAAAGGGAACATTAAGGTGTCTTTTTAGATCAAAAACTATTTCCACAGTGTTTACTTCTTTTCAGACAAAAATTACTATCTCTGATGTCTTTGTGTTAGTCAAAGAATGGTTTTAATTAGCTCCTGTCATTAGAAATTACATCTCCACAAGGAAATAAATGGCAGATGTTGTTTCTTTACACCAATTTCATGTTTGTTGGAGAAGTGAATGCAGCACATTATTTTCTCTATTTTTGTTTGAAATAGTACAGTTTCCATCTGATATTTTTTATAGTCTATTTGCTATTATCTGAGATAGAAGAGAAGCTGTGGTTTGAAAAGATTTGACTTTTGTGGCTATATTGTGTTTTATTTCCACTATTCAATAAGTAATTGTTTCTGTAACCTCTCCCCTTGCTCAGACACATTCTTTCCTCTCCTTTTCAGGCATTGGGGGGGAAAATACTCTATTGTTACTCGAAAGATGAACACTAAGTGAACTGAATGGCTTGGGAGAATTAATACTGAGAGCTTTGCACTTCCCAACAAGAATACTTTACACTGACACTGTAGTTTCTAAATTACTGTATATAATCACAATTAAGCCTGTTCATTCTTACAATGACACCCCTCCTCTTTACAGAAAAAAATTGCTAAAAAGTCAATGACCAGTCTATAAGCTGACTCCACATCAGCAGTGTAGAAACTTCCAGTGCCACCTCATGGGCATCAGCGCAGGCTAAGGGATGTGCTGGCTGCAGACATGGAGCTTTTTAGGAGGCTGCTGTTTGCTGTTCCCAGCCAATAGGAGCTGACAAATGTCCCCAGTGTGCCAGCTGTTTGCCCGGCTGGGAACTGAAGTTTGCTAACCCCTCCCACCAGGGAAAAAACTGCACATGAGCCGAACATAAACCAATCCCCGCTCTGAGTTAAGGGTTGTGTTTGGGGTAGATATCTGAGTGTTGTCCTATTGCCCATTCTCTCTTAGGCCTTCTCTACACGACATGGGAAGGTCAAAGTAAGATATGCAACTCCAGCTATGTAAATTATGTCGTTGGAGTCAATGTACGTTGCATCAAGTTTCCATGCCGTTCACAGCATGAAAGGCCGATGGAAGCAAACGCTAAAGGCTAAAGCCAACTCTGCACATATGACCAGTGTTCGTGTGACAGAGCAGGAGACCAATAAGACTCTGCAGGATGGCATCTTTCAATCCAAGGAGGAACATTAGAAGGGTCTACATTCTTTGAAGGCTGTGAACACCAATGAAGGAGAGGAACTATTTCTTGGGGGTACATGAAGGCACAACTTGGTGCAAAGGGATAAAGGTAAGAAAAGGCAACTATAAGTTGAAGAAACTGAAAATTTCCCAACAGGAAAATGTTTTTGGCTGTGAAATAATCTCCAAAGGAAAGAG